AAAAAAACCCCACGTCAAACCTTCAGGAGTCTGGAGGCTGCGGCGGAGCGGAGGGCACGGGAGGACACTCACTCCCACACGAGCAGCTTTCTGGGAATTAGGGCCACAGCCCAACTGCTCTGGCAGCCTGCGCTCCCCTCCAGCCCTGGCTGCCGGTGCGGCGGGGCCTGGGCAACCTCCCCGGTGCCGGTCCCGATCCCGGCCAGCCTCAGCGGCCCCGCCGCCGCAGGGTCGGACACTTCTCCCGACCCTAATCTCCCGCTTTTCCCCAGGGAGGTGAGTAAACGTCGCTAATCCCGCTCGCTTGGCTGCCGGGGACAGACGAGCCGCCCCCTCCAGGGCTGAGGCTGCTCCTGGGCACCCCCAGCGCGCCCTGGCAGGCCCAGGTCGCCCCTTCCCCTCAAGGGGTGCAGCGACCCGTCAAGGTGGAGTTTGGGATGGAGGGAGCGAGGAGAAGAAGGAGCGAGGAGAAGGAAGGAGAGAGGAGAAAGAAGGAGCTGCTCGTCCCCGTCAGAGGCCACCGCGGGATGTCGCAGCCAACCCACCTTTGCCTTTGGTGTCCCCCATGCCCCTGTGCCAGTCCCGGGGGATGCCGCGGGGGGGACTCAGGAGGACCCGGAGGTGATGGATGCTGCCGGATGCCGCCGTCCCCGCATCCCTCCTTCCCTCCCCGGGGGAGGACGAGCCGTCCCGGCAAGCCGCGGTGCGGGGGCACGGTGCCCGTCCTGTGCCACCCCCCTGACCCCCCTCCCTCCACGTGCCCGGGACTCCTGTTTACCCAGAGCCAGGAACCGGCTTCAAATACCTTGATGTAATTAAAAGCTCACCCCGGGGCCAAGGGCTTAGGACGGCAGCCAGGGACACGGGCAGCGCGCTGCCACCTGCGTGCCGCACAGGCAGGGCTGGCAGCTGCCCGCGCTCCTGGCAGCACCTACCTGGCAGCAGCCGGGGGCTCCTGCCCTCAGCTCGGGCACCTCCGGTGTCCCCGCCGCGTTCCGGGGGTGTCCCGGAGCCGGGGAGCCGCTGTCGGGGCGGGTGATGCGGTGACACGAATCCTGGTGCTGGGGGACGCGGGACAGGAGCGATGGGCAGCTCCTGCTCGCTGCCTCAGTTTCCCTTGGCGGCTGGAAATGTTCTGCCTCAGTTTCCCTCAGAGAGGAGTCCCCAGCACGACCTGAAGGTGGTGCCCAGCTCCCCGCGAGATTTTGGGACTGTGGTCCCCAAAATTTTCAGCCCAGCAGCCCCCGTGGTGTCACGGCAGGGACACGGAGTCGGGATTGTGGTCACCAAAAATCTTCAGCCCAACGCCTGTGGTGTCATGACAGGGACACGGAGCCGGGATTGTGGTCCCCAAAATCTTCAGCCCGCGGTGTCACGGCAGGGACACGGAGCCGGAACCTCGTCGGTGCCAGCGCGGGCTGGCTGGGGACAGACGGGTCCCCGGGGGGACAGGCGGCTGCGGGGAGGAGGGGGGGATGCAGCAGCGTTCCTTCAGCTGTGTCCTCCCACACTCCCGTCACCTCGAACGCCCTTTTCCCGACCCCTCCCGCCACCGCCGCGCTTCCCACTCGTCATCCCCTTCCTCGCCATCCTCCTCCTCCTTATCATCATCATCATCCTCACCAGCCGCTCACCGGCATGTCCGCGCTTGAGGACACGCTGTGGGGGCGCAGCAGGAGCCCCCCCAGAACGAGGAGGGGAGGTTTTACCTGCACGGCAGGGCCAGGGAGGGAAAGGGGGGGGGGGTCCCGTCCCATCCTATGCCATCCCAGCCCATCCCAGCCCCCCGCCCGCGGCTCCTCACGCCGCCCTCCCTGCCCTCTGCGGCGGGAGGCAGCTGAGAGCTCCCGGGGCTGCCAGAAAAGAGGCTGCGTTTAAACAACAGACATAATTATGCTTTTGATACCGTCTGCTAAAAATACAGCGCGGTGCCGCGCGGGGAGCCATGTGTGCGCGGCCTCACATGGCTCCAGCCCGGAACAGCTGACTCAGGCAGGGGACAGCCATGGGGGGAGCCCCGCGGGGATCAGGGGGGTCACACCCTCACCTGGGACCCCCAAATAGCCGCTTTGAGGGTGATGAGGGCAGCCCAGGGATGGCCAGAGCATCCCACAGCAGTGGGGATGAAATGAGCTGGGAATGGGGCAGGGAAGGAGGAGGGGGGCGCAGGAGCGTGGATGTCAGTCGGTGTCACCAGGGTGGGTTTGGGGGGGTTCAGTTTGTTCCCAGCCCCTACAGCAGCACGGGAGGGTGGGGTGAGGGGGGAGGGAAGGATCTGGGGGTTTCAGGGGGGCTCTGGAGGTGGCACCCCAAGCACCCCACAGCTCCCCGGGGAGGTAAATCCCGTTCAGGAGTAATGACTCCATTTCCCTGTCCCCGGGGAGAGACAGAGTTGGGTGACAGCCCCTCAATGCCCGGCCATGGCACCCCCGGGCTCCTGAGGCTGCTGCCCTCCAGGAACGGGCAGTGCCTGGCCCGGGGCCACCACGGCCCGGGGTTGGCATCGCAGCATCTGTGACAGGGACAAGGAGCAGCCTTGCGTCACCCGCTCCCCTGCCAGCTCCCAAGGATGCAGGCAGGGAGCCATTCCCTGTGTGCTGTCCCTCCATCCTTGTCCCCAGTCCCTCTCCAGCTCTCCCGGAGCCCCTTCAGGCTCTGCAAGGGGCTCTGAGCTCTCCCTGGAGCTTTTCCTTCTCCAGGTCTCCCAGCCTGGCTCCAGTTTTGGAGCATCTCCGTGGCCTCCTCTGGACTTGCTCCAGCAGCTCCACGTCCCTCTGACCTTGGGGACCCCCGAGCTGCAGGTGAGGTCTCACCTGAGCAGATGAGAATCCCCTCCCTGCTGAGGATGCAGCCCCTGAGCCCCCTCGATTATCCCACCTCCTACAACACCCCCAGCCCCACTGTGCCCCCACCCCAGTGATCCAAACCCTGCCCCGGGGTGGCACAGGGGGTCCCCACAGCCGTGCCAGCCGTGCCTCAGCCTGGCACCCCCTCCCCGGAGGGGACGGTGGCAGCGGGCGAGCTCAGGTCAGGCGCTTAAACTGCTGCGCTGGGGCGGTGCCAGGCGAGCCGGGGGGATGGATTAGAGCTTTGCTGATGCAGCCTGGCACTGGCCCGTGCGCTGACACAGCTGGGATCAGCGCTGGCACCGCCAGAGCTGCCTCGGCCTCGGGGGGGGGACAGCCTGTGCCACCCCGCCCCACTCCTGTCCCCTGCTTGGGTTTCATCCCCTGGGGGACACACGGGTTTACCAAAGCAGGACATGGAAACTCCTCGTTCCTTCCCAGGACCTCACTCTCCCCGCTTTGGAAGGCGCTGATGTCGTGCCTCAGTTTCCCCAAGCTGGGAATCCCTGACCCCGCACCGTGAAGACACAACAGAGGCTCCAACCCTCTCTTATCACACCTGGGAGTACCCCAAAATGAAAGAACCCCCCTTTGACCCCCAGCTTGCCCCAGCAGCCGTATCCTTGGAGGAACCGCGCTCCCTAAGCGGCTTTAGGGGGATTACAGGCAGCCCCCTGGCCCTCGCTGTCCCCACCCAGCCTTCCTTCTCCGCTGCTTTAAGTAATCGTCTCCCAGGCAGTTTTACGGGGCTAATCCAGCCACCTCCACCTAATCTGCTCCAACACCCCTGCCTGCCCCGGGCCGCCCCGCAGAGCCCGGCCTGGGCTGGGTCCCGCTGCCCTGGGAAGACCCCCGAAATCGGGCAGGAGCCAAGGGCTAAAAATACAGCTGGCCCCAGGGGCGAGGGCAAGGAGGATTGGGAGCGAGGGGATTGATGCCAGGGAGAAGGAGCACGGCAGGACAGGCGGGCAGGTGGGGACAGGGGAGGTGACAGAGTCACCTTGTGCCACCCCCCTGTGCCCCCCAGCCGGGTGGGGGACGAGCCCCGCGGGATTTCCGGTGGGATGGGATTTGGGATGGGGATGTCCGGCTCCATCCCGGGTGTCCCTGCTGCTGCTGCTGCCACGCCGTGGGGGACACGGCTACTGCAGGGACAGCCCGGGAAATTTGGGAATGGCACCCGGCGGCCTCAGGGATAGAAAGTAGGTGGCAAAAGAGCCCTGGGAGATGCCCGTGAGGAGCATGGGGTGGATTCTCAAGGATGAATTTGGAATTCTCCAGTTCCTTCCAAATGAGAAAATCGTCTCTGGCAGCTTCCCTGGAGGAGTCTGGGGGTGCTGTCCGGGATTCTGGAAGCTGAAATATGGGGGAAAGCCTCTGGGAGATGGCTGGAGGGGGTCTTGGATGAATCCCTGAGGGTACAGCTTCCTCCAAAGGAAAAATAAAATCTCAGAAAGCTTTCCTGGAGGAGTCTGGGGCTGCTACCTGGGATCCAGGAACAGGGGTGAAAAAACTCTGGGAGAGGTCCTGGAGGAGTCTTGGATTCCAGAGCTTCCTCCAAGAGAAAAAGCAATCTCAGGAAGCTTCCTGTGGAAGGGGACAGCACTGGGGACAAGTCCTGCTTCCCAAAGTCTGAAATATTGTTTATTTTTCCATGCACAAAACCCTCTTTTTGGGAGAGGGGAATGTTAAAAGCCATGTGCTGCCCAGCACTGTGTGTTCAAGTATGGGGGTGTCAGTCTGTGTCTGGGGGGGCCCTGGGCAGGGGCCATGGCTTTGGCTTCAGAGGGACAAAGCTCTGGCTCCACTGCTGGCTCCCAGGGGAACGGGAATGTTGGGAATAAGGCACCATGGCAGCAGGAGAGGGGTGGGGGAGCGAATAGTGTTCACAGGATGGGGGGAAAAAAGAGGGGCCAGACCCCACACCAGAGATGCCAGCACCGAGCTGGGGGGGACTGGGAGCGGGGGGGGGATGAGCTGCTCCCCCCTCCTCAAGGCACCAGAGGTCATGGAAGAGATTTATAGTGTGAGGATCCCCAGGGGTGCAGGAGCCACAGCAGCAAATTCCTCTCCAGCCTCCTGGCAGAGGTTTCCCAGGATTTTTAGCTCTCCTGCTCCGACTGAGCCGTTTTCCTCCTGGTCCGGCTGCGCAGGAACCGGGAAGAGCCCTGGGCAAGGAAAGGGACAGGGACAAGTCAGGGGGACAGGTCAGGACCCCCTCAGGCAGCCCCACACCCCCATTGCGTGTCCCCTTCCCACAGCACCTCTTTCCCAGGGTTCTTCCTCAGGCATCTCAGGCTCTGGCTGCGGGACAGGGATTTGGGATCCCGGCGTGGGGACTGTGGGGGGGACACCTGCGAGTCCGACCACATCCCCTCACCGTCCGAATCGCTCTCGTAGCGGCGGCCGGCGCCGTAGCCTGGGGACAGAGGGGACACGCCAGCTCCCAGCATGGCCACCACGGGCTCTGCTGGGAGCCCCCCTCGCTGTGAACCCCCCCAGCTCCTCACCCAGGGGCTGCTGGAGGCTCTCCTGCTCCTCCAGGTACAGCGGGTCCTGGAAGTGCACGGGGTTTTGCTCGGACAGCGAGTGCAGGTCCTGCGTGCTGAAGCTGCGGAGCCGCCCGGCCAGCGCGCCCTGGCTCTGCATTGGGGGACACAGAGAGGACAGGAGGATCAGATCCCAATCCAGGGGACGTCACCCCTCCGCTGTCACCTCCCTGGGTACCTTGGTGGCCGCCTGGACGGCGGCGGTGGCCGCCAGGTTGAGGCCCCTCTTGCCAAAGTGCAGCATGGTCTCATAGCCGCGCTCGCGGGCCCGGACGAGGAAGGCGTCGATGTCCTGAGAGACAAACGGGAGGTGCCGGGAGTGCAGGGTGGTGGCCTGGGGCATTGTCACCTCCCGGGGCATGGCCATGGCCCTGGGCATTGTCAATCTCAGGGAAATGTCACCCCACAGGGCATCACCATGTCCTAGGGCACTGTCACCTCCCAGGGCATTGTCACTCCCATGGCACTGCCACAACCTGGAGCAACGCCACACCCCCAGGTCATCACCAACCCAATTTAGGGTGGCTGAACCCCTCCCAGGCTGGGCAGGGAGGACCCCCCCAAAATCCCAGGAATTTGAATTTGTACCTTCTCCCTGCGGGCCAGTGTGGGGTGCACGAAGCGGCGGTAGAGCAGGCTGGCCCCCCGCGTGTACGGGGACAGCAGCCAGATCACAAAGGCCATCTTCACCTCGTAGTAGAAGGGGAACCTGGGAGAGAGGGGCAGGAGATGAGTGGGGGGGTCCAAAGGGACCTCCTGTCACCCCCCACACATCAGCTCTGGGGACATGGCGACAGCCAGAGTCTTCCCCCCCAAGCCTCACCAGGAGATGAGGAGGTCAGTGAAGGTCTCTGTGGCCATGAAGAGAGCGAAGACGATCCAGTACATCATCCATCGGACCTGGGGGAGCCATGGGGAGCCCGTCAGAGGGGGCTGGAGCCTGGGAAAAGGGGGGCTGAACCCCAGAAAGGGGGACTGGAGTCCCAGGAAAAGGGGGGACTGGAGCCCCAGGAAAAGGGCTCCCCAGGTACTTGACTCACGTATTCCCGGATGTTTTTCGTCTTCACAGCCTTGTAGGAGGCGTAGGCCGGGTAGAGCATCCCGAAGAGCAGCCTGTAACACAGAGGGGGGGTGAGGCAGCGCGGCCACCCCGCGTAGAGCAGCAGGAACAGGGACCAGCACAGCTGCCGGCCCCAGCGCCGGACCCTGCCCTGGACCCCCTCCAGCACCATCCCGAGCCCGGGGAGACCGGGAGAACGGTCCGGGAGACTCCGGGAAGGATCAGCCATGATGAGCACGGTGTCACTCCCACCTCCAAACGGGACCGGCCCGACCTGTCGGGGCGGGCCAGGGACAGGGGGAGGGGGCAGAGCACGGGCTCGGTCCCCGCAGGGACAGGGGGAGGTGGCAGGGCACGGGCTCGGTCCCCGCAGGGACAGGGGGCGGTGGCAGGGCACGGGCTCGGTCCCTGCAGGCTCCGTCCCCGGCGCAGAGCCGGTGCCAAGCTCCGTGCTGGGGCACTGGGTGAGGTGCCACCACCCCCGAACACCCACCTGGGTGTCCAGTTGACCTCCTGTGTATGGGGACCCTCTGGGCAGAGACCCCTAGGATGGGGCAGGGACCCCCCTGGGATGGGGCAGGGACCCCTCCAGGGCAATACAGGGGACCCCCACCCATGGGGGATGCAGAGGGACCCCAGGCCAAGCTCACCCTCCCCAGGACGGGCAGGGAGGACCAGCAGCAGCTCAGGGATGCATTTTCGGGGGACTGGCATGACTGGGGGGGTGGGTTATAATTCCATGTAAGAAACTTGGGGTCGCCCCTCCAAACCCCGCCTGGGACTTCTCCGAGGAGACCCCAGCATGGTGACCCCCATTAATGGAATACCCAGAGAGGGGACAGGGGGTCGGGGATCCTTGGGGACCCTCCCCGAAGCTCCCCCACCCGGCAGCCCCTCCCCCGTTACACGGCGCGGACCCCACTCACTCAATGACCCGGCTGAGGATCCAGGACACCATGGTGCGGCCGGGGATGAAGACCCGAGCAGTGCCGGGCGGGAGGGTGGGTGCTGTGCCCCCCTGGAACCCCTAAATCCCCCCCAAAATTCCCCCAAAGCCCCGAGGGAGCGAATCCAACAACTTGAAAGTTGCAGCAACCGAGCGGCGCATGCGTAGTCCGGGCCCACCGGCTGTTCTTAAAAGGGCAATGCTCTTAAAGTGGCAACGGATTTTCTTAAAAGGGCAATTCCGTTAATGGCAACGGTGCCTCTTAAAAGGGCAATGTCCTTAAAAGGGCAACAGCGCCCCCCTAAAAGTGTGACCCACAGGTGGAGGTGAGCCCCAGCTTTATAAAATAAAAACATCATATAAATCCCCTAAATATATTAAATCTCAATATAGAATAGCCTAAACGTACCTAAAAATGTCATGTTTAAAATTCCCCTAATATACTGAATATTAATATATTACTATATTGAATATTAATATAGTAATACAGTAATATAGTATATAGTAATATATAGTAATATATTATATAGTAATATATAATGTATTAATTTAGAACACATATTAAATATTCCCTAACACATAAACACTAATTCCCTAATACACATATTTTTATATATTTAATACACATATTTTTATATATTAAAACGTACCACTTTTAAAGCAATAAGCTGGTAGGGAAGGGAGGGGAGAGCCACTCTGATTGATGCTAAAGAATTATTTTTGGGTCTGGAGGGGATTTGATGATTTTTTGGTGCTCTGATGGACGATGCAGAGCCCTCCACTGTGGAGTGCTGAAAGATCCTCCTGAGAAAATAAAATCAGCTTGAATCATCTCTCGGAGCCTCCTCCCCCTTGGCCCTGCAGCCCCAAGGCTGATCCAGGATTTCCCAAATTCCCCATCCCAGTCACGGTGCCAGAACCCTCCTGCAGTGCTCCCTGTGCTTTCAAACCTGCTTTTTCCTGCCAGGGAAACTGAGGCAGGGACGCTTGGCAGTGCCCTGGGAGAAGCCACCCTGCTCCCCAAACCCATCCGTGCCCCGGAGGTGCTGTTACCTGCCAGAGGATCTTCATTTATGCTTTTAATTGGTGGTTTTCCACGTGCATATTTATCCACCTGGGAGCCAGGGAAAGGCTCCCCTGGAAAACCAGTCCAGCAGGGACTCCCCTCCCTGGGGAAACACCTCCTGCTCCCCACCCGCACCGTGGGCCAAGGTTTCTGCTGAAAAAAAAACCTAAAATGAGGAATTCCCACTCCCTGGAGCTGTGGAATGCTGGGGAGAACGGGCTGGAAGGACACACGGGCAGGGCTGGGGGTCACAGTGTGTTTATTTGGGAGGGTTTTGGTGGCCACAGACACCCAGCTGGCACGCTGGGTCCTGCCTGGCAGCGAGGCCGTGGGCACGGGGAGCTGCTGGGCATGCACGGAGAGGGACAGGAGCTGCTGGCCTCGAGCATGGAGTCCTCAGGGCATCGCATCTGCAACCACCTGGGAGCATCCTGAGCATCCCATCATCCTCAGGGCATCACATCTACATCGACCTCAGAGCATCCTGGAGCATCTCATCATCCTTGGGGCATCCCACATCCCGTTTGCATCCACCTGGGAGCATCCTGGAGCATCCCATCATCCTCAGGGCATCTCATTTGCATCCAACTCGGAGCATCCTGCTGGCCTTGCAGCACCCCATCATCGTCCTCACCATCCCATCTGCATCCACCTCAGAGCATCCCATCCTCCTCGGGCCATCCCACCCCATCCCATCCTCTTTGGAGCATCCCAAAATCCCTCAGCATCCTGGGAACCCCTCCTGCCACACCCCTGCTTGCTGTCCCCCCTCCTTTCCTTCACCACCAGCTCCCAGCCCATGGCCCGAGCTGCACAAAGACCCCTCCCCAAACCCTCTCCACCCCCCCAGGAGTGCAGCTCAGCAGGGCAAGGCGTGTCCCACCCTCCCTCTCTGCATCCCACAGGGTAAAACCGGAGGGAAACCGAGGCACCGTGGGGCTGGGTGAGGGCGGAGGGCTGGCACAGGGGGTGCCGGGGGTGGTTGGGGGACAAGGAGCGGTGGGCACATGCATGCCCGGTGGCTCTGTGGGTGCCAGCTACAGGCTGAGGTCCACCACCACGTGCCGGTACACCAGCGTGTTGGCCTTGAAGCTGGGCGCCAGCAGCAGCTGCACATCGGCCGCCGGCACCGCCCGGAACGCCCGCGGCGCCTGCACCGACAGCTCCTGGAACTTGGCGAACTTCTGCTTCTCCTCTTCCCAAAGGTACACGTGGGTGAAGGAGAAGTCGCTGCCCAGCGCCAGGTACTGCCGCTGGCCCACGGAGAAGGGCTGCATCACCATGGAACCGCGCGACGGCAGCGTCTGCACCTCCACGAAGCGCTGCCCTTCCCAGCGCACCACCTTGGAGTCGCCGATGTAGCGGCTGAGGCACAGGAACTGCTCCCGCTTGGCCCTGAAGTGTTTGACCATCTGCACGTCCAGCATCTCGCCCACCTCGCCCTGCGGCACGAATTGCTTCTGCGCCCGGCTCCACTGGTAGATGACGGGGGCCTGCGAGCTGCTGGAGATGATCAGCCGGGGTTTGCCGTTGTTCTCCACGTATTCCACGTCGGTGTCGCGGTGCCAGGCGTGGAGGGCTTGGTGGGAGTAAAAGCCGTTCTGGTTGAGGCGGTAGAGGCTGGTGGAGCCCGCCTTGGAGCTGTCGGCGATGACGAAGAACCAGTCGCCCTCGATCTGGAAGGCCTCGATGTCGTTGGGCTTGCGGATCTTCTGGCTGTCGATGTCCTGGATCTTGATGAATTTGTCCACGGCCGTGTCCCAGCGGTAAATGTAGGAGCCACCAAAAAGCTGCGCCACCACCACGTAGAGCTGGTCCTGCGCCACGATGGGCTTGCAGTGCACCGCCGAGTGACCTGGCAACAAACCACGTCACATCAGGGCCGTGCCCGTCCCAGGTCACCCCAAAATGGTCCCAGCCCAGGAAGGGACCCCCAGCCCAAATCCTCACCGGGGATGCGGTCGAAGTCACGGAGTTTGCGTTCCACGTAGTCCCACTTGAGGATGGAGCAGCTGCTGGCACTGGGCTGTGCCAGGGCCACGTACAGGTCACTGGCGTAGGTGAAGGGCTCGGCTGACACCGCCTGGAAGGGCAGGACCTGGTGCATGACGAAATCTGGAGCAGGGAGAGGAGGCAGTGAGGGTCTGGACACCCAGGAGTGAGGCGACGTGTGGCAGGTGACAGGTGACAGGTGACAGCAGTGCCTTTTACCTGTGGTGATGCACTGGAAGTCACCGAGCGCCAGGTCCCGGATCCGCTGTCCCTCGAACTGCCCGGGGCTGCTGCAGAAGACGGCGGGGACCGTGGTGTTGGTGCTCTCCAGCCACTCCACCAGCCACTTGATCTTGCAGTCACAGGCCAGCGTGTTGCCACGGAGGTCCCTGCCAGGGATGGCACCGAGTCACCCCCAGCACCCACCAGGATGTCACCGTCTCCCCAGCCAGAAATGGCACCGAGTCACCCCCAGCGCACAGCACCTTTCCCAAGCCCCACCCCTGGGATGTCACCCTGTCCCCAGCCCGGTGTCCCCAGGGGTCCCCAGTGACCCCTCACAGATCACTCAGGATGTCCAGCGGCTTGAAGAGGTCCCGTGGCAGCGTCTGCAGATTGTTGTTGGCCAAGGACCTGAGGGACGAGAAGAGCTGTGAAGGTGACACATCCCTGACAGTGACAAAGGGACAGGGCCACCCCTGCAGGGTCCCCCAGGTGCTCACAGGTGTGTCAGGGACTTGAGCCCGCGGAAGGTGCCCTTTGAAAGCGCCTGGATGTCGTTGTTCTCAATGAACCTGGAACGGGAGCAGACAGTGAAGGGGCCATCCCGAAGATCCCTCCCTGTGCCCTCCCTGTCCCCGTGTCCCCATGTCACACACAGGTACTGCAGGTGCGAGAGCCCGGCGAAGGCGTTGTCCCCGATCAGCGTGAACTTGTTGGAGTTGAGGAGGCTGCGAAGAGAGAGGGGGGGAGGTGTCAGCGCCGGGCTGGGCAGGGTGGCCACCGAGGCTGGCACCGGGGCGAGCACCGGGGCGAGCACCGGGATGCCCGGCCGGGGGCACGGGACACCTACAGGAACTGCAGGGAGGGGATGTGGGCGAAAGCCGCCTCCCGGATCTCCGTGAAGGCCGCGTTCACCATCGTCCTGCGGGAGAGATGGAGCTTCAGCAGAGTGGCACTGCCACCCCCGTGACCCCCAGCACCAGCTCGGTGTCACCTGGGCCAGTGTGGCCCGTGAGAGGTGCTGGGATGTGGCAGAGGGAGCCCAGCAGCCACCCTGCCCGCTGTGGGGACACGGAGGGGGTGAGGTGCAGGGGGCTGGCACCCACCCCGGGCTGCCCACACCCTGCGGCAACCCCTGGCACGGGGCCATGTGCACGCACACGTGTGAAAACACACGGGAATGGTGTGTAAACACATACACACAGGTGTAACACACGGGAATGGGTGTGTAAACACATACACACAGGTGTAACACACAGGAATGGGTGTGTAAACACATACACACAGGTGTAACACACAGGAGTGGTGTGTAAACACATACACACAGGTGTAACACACAGGAATGGGTGTGTAAGCACACAGGTGTAACACACACACACACAGGTATAACACACACAAACGGGTGTGTAAACGCCAACACACAGGTGTAACACAGGTGTAAACACACACACAGGTGTAAACATCCACGTCTGCCACACGCCCCCGTGCCAGGCTCCGGGGAACAGCCGTGCCCCCATCAAGACCCCCCCGAGTCATGTCCCCTTGGGTCTGCGGTCCCCAAGGTCACAACCGTGTCCCCTCGGGGTTCTGGTGGCCAAGGTCGCGCCGGGGACAGGCTGCAGCCCTGCTCTGTCTGGCACTGATGGATGGCTGCGTGTGCCAGCACCGCAGCACACGGGGACATGTCCCGGGCTGTCCCCAGCCTCCTCCTCCCCCCAGAGACCCCCACACTGACCCTACCTCGCCCTGCCCCCCCATGCAGCACAGCAGGGGTGTCCCTGCCCCTCCAGTGCCAGCCCTGCACTCCTGAGCTGTGACGCTGTCCCCATCGCTGTCCCCACCCCGGGTACTCACAGCGAGATGACCTCGGGGGGCAGGTTCTTGGGCACAGCCTTGGAATCCACGCAAAAAGCCGTGTCCCGGGTGCAGGAGCAGCTCGGGGGGCAAGGGGGAGGCCGGGGGGGCCTCCGCCCCTCCGCCGGCAGCCAGAGCCAGGCCACGGAGAGGAGGAGGAGGAGGAGGAGGCGAGCGGGGAGCTGGTCCTGGTTCAGCATCCTCCTCCCGCTCCGCAGCTCCATCACGCCCTGGCCTTATCTCTGTTTGATCCCGGGAGCTGCTCCCGACTCCGCGGTGCCCGGTAGCTGTGGAAAAGCTTTTTTTCCTTTTATTTTTCTTTTTTCCTTCTTCCCGGGGGATGTCAGTGTGGAGGAGAAGCAGCGGAGGCTGCGGGCTCCTGACCCGCGGCTCTGCAGCACACCATGCCCGGTGCTGCGGGAGGGAGGAGGGAGGGAGGGAGGGAAGGAGGGAAGGAGGGAGGGAAGGAAGGAGGGAGGGATGCGGCTGAGTGACAGCGCCAGCATCGCCGTGCACGCGTGTCCGTGCGCGCGTGTCCCCGGCAGCGACACCAAACTCGGGGTTCCACGCCGGGGTGGCGACCACAGGGAGCTCTGGGGAAATGGGGGGGGGATGGGGGGACAGGACAGGGGTGACGCCCCCGCAGTGACTCCCCCACCTCGGCGCTGCAGCGCTGCCCTCGCCAGCTCCGTGCCCGCCGTGGCCGCAGCACTCTGGGCACCCATCCACGCCACCCCGTCCGTCCCAGGCACCCATCTCTCCCATGCCAGGCGTCCATCTGCGCCGTCCCTGGCACGGAGCCCGCGGGAACAATGCGTCCAGCCAGCTCCTTCCCCTGCCCGGGGGGGGCACACGCAGCTGCCCGTGCAGAGCCAGGGGTGCAGCCCCCCCCCGGCTACGTGCTGGGGGTGCTGGGCTTGGGTGTGGAGGGCGGGCAGTGCCCGCTGTTTGCCTTGGCACCCCCTCCGCTGCAGGACAAATGCCACGGAAGGGCCCTCGAGGGTTTTGTGGCCCCTCCCTGGCTCTTCTCCGGGCTCAGCAAACAGCACAAGTGGCACTCGGCAGCTTGGAGTGGCCCCAGCCCTTCCCGGCCAGCCGGAATCCTATAAATGCCCCCGGGACAAGGCTGGCAAAGGGACAGGAGCGCACGGAGAGATGGATGACAGCTCCAAAGAGGCGCTGATGGAGGAGGCACCTCCGGTAAGGAGCACCCACCTGAGCCCCCTCTGTCACCCCCGGCTCTGGCGGCTCAGCCGGGCGCTGTCCTGTGTCCCCAACAGAGGTACACCGAGTCCCCGCGCCTGCCCTGCATCCCCCACGAGCTCAAGAGCCTCCTGCTGATGGTGACGCTGGTGGTGGTGGCCCTCGTGGTGGTCAACATCACTTTCCTCCTGCTGGGGTTGCACCTCAGCGAGTCCCACGCCGAGACGGTGAGGGCAGGGAGGGACAGCGGTGCCCCCGGCTCCGGGAGGGGGGTTAGGATGGCACCGCGGCTTTGTAAGGGTGGAGTTCAGCCCCCGCAGAGCTCCCTGACCCCTCTGCCCCCGGCAGGTGTTGAGAATGACCATCCACGGGCTGGATGGCGAGGGGACCCCCCAGCAGCTCGCCATGAGCAAGAAGGAAAGGATCGGGACGTTCGCGGTGCGGGATGGGCTCAACGCCTCGGCCACGGTGGTGTACGACTACGGCAAGGTGCGTGGGGACCTGGGGACAGCCGCGACAGCCACAGGACGGGGCTGAGCTGAGCCGCCTCTGTCTGCAAACAGCTGCTGGTCGGCTACAGGTCCTGGCGTCACCGCGCCTGCTACATCACCCGCGTGGACAAGGACAACTTCCCGGGGCTGGACGCCGTCACCGAGAGCTTCCAGCGCCGGCAGGTGAGCGGTGACCACCCCGCTGGGATGGGGGTGGAGCAGCTCTGGGCTCAGCACAACCCAATCCTTTCATCCTGGGAAATGTGAGGCTGGGGGTTTGTCACCTCTGGAGGGGGCACAGCGGCTGCCGAGGGTGGCAGCTCCGTTCTCTGTCCTGCAGGGTGAGGACGTTGGGGACAAGGCCGTGCCCCTGGCTGACCGCTCCATCCTGGGCACCAGCATCAACATCCTCTGCAGCGCCGTGCCCGTGTTCTGGGCGTAGGAGCAGAGGGACGGGACAGCGAGATGGGGGTGGCACTGTCCCCCGAGCTGCCTTTCCAGCGGGACACCGGGGAATCTCCTCCTCCTCCTCCTCCTCCTCTTCTTCGTCCCCATCCCGGGGACAGCCACCCCACCAAGGGGGTGCTCCATCCGCCGTCGCTTGGCACCGCGGCTTTCCCACTGCTCTCTCCGTAAAAAAAACAAACAAACAAACAAAAAAAACCTAGTGGGATTTGCTTTGAGATTTGCTTCTGTCTACAAAGTAAAGGCTGTGCCCCCGCCTCCGAGTGTGTTCTTGCTCTTCCTGGGTGCTGGGGGCAGGGACACGGTGTCCCAAGGGTGTCACCTTGGAGGTGCGGGGTGGGGAGGGGAATCCCTCACGTTGGGGTGAGAGGAGCTCGGGAGGGATCAAATACGGGGGGCAGCAGCACAACTGCACACGATGTCCCCATCTGTGTCCTCCCATTGTCCCCACCTGTGCCCTCCCAGTTTGGAGGATGGAGGGTGAGGTTGGAGGAGCAACCTCTGCACTTCCAGACCTGCAGGAAACGCTCCCAACCCTGTCCCCTCCTCGTGCAGGCGGGGACAGAGGGACTGTGCCACATCCCCCGAGGGATCCAAGCCCTGGGTTATCCACAGACACCACGATCCACTTGCTCCGGCTCCCCCCATCCCCATCCTCTCCCTTTTCCCATCCATTCCAGCCCCTCCTGCCCCACATCAGCTGGGAACAACCTTTGGGGACACTTCCAAGTGCTGCACAGAAAAAACGGGAAGCGCCATGGCTGGGAGGGAAAAAAGAGACCCCTGGGAGTTGATTTGATCTTTCCAGAACTGCAAACTCAGTGCTGTCCCCAAAATCACTACCACGAGCAAAGACTGGGGTCACAGCTCTGGGAGGTGACACTTTGCTGGGGACAGGAGGGACATTGCAGATTCCCATGTGCTGACTCAGAGCCAGCAGCTCTTCTTCCCAAAAAACCCTGCCCGTGATAAGGAGCTGGGTCAAGAGGGTGCCATGGGCCAGGAAAGGAGATAAGGGCTCCCACGGGGACTGAGAGCAAACAGCCAGGAGCCACTCAGGGGACTCCTGTGGCCCTTGACACCCTGGAAAAAGAGGCAGCATTCACCCCCCAATACCTGGCTGTGAGTTTGGGGGGTCCCAGGGGTGGCTGGAGGGGTCCCAATTGCAGGAGGGGCAAAACCAAGGCCCAGCCACCTAAGGGGCACATGCCAGAGCTGGGATCCCCTCACCCTAAAAAAATCCACACTGTGAGCACCTCTGTCAGCCCAGAGCTGGGATCCCTCTCACCCTAAAAAAAAAAATCCACACTGTGAGCATTGCCAGCCCCAAAATCCACCAGCAGTGGTGCCTGAGCGGTGTCAGGACTGAAAATGAGGGTCAGGGACACTTCCCTGTGCCGTGGTGACCCCGTTCCCAGCCCATCCCTGTGGATTACAGGAAATCTTTAATGTCCTGTTTGTTCCTTGCCACATCCAGCAGCTCCAGGTGCCCGAGCTGGCGAAGGGACACGAGCCAGGTCCCACCTCAGCTGTGCCCACGGCCGGATGCTCCACCCTGGAGGGTTTGCTTTGGCCCTGCCACCTCGCTGCTGGGCAGCAGAGAAGTCCCAGTGCCTGGGGACAAGGACCCTTGACCCAGAGCCCTCGGAGCCTCTCGAGCAGCAGGTTCCCAGGGGGATCCAGCTGGGAGTGGGCGCTCAGCAAACACGAGTGGAGTGGGTCACATGCCAGGGCCTGACCGCACCCCGGGGCCACCAAACCCTTCACAGGGGCCCCTCCAGTCGCCACCCCAGTGTCCCAGTATAAAGTTCCCAGTCCTGACGGCCAGGCTGGGCTGGGAATGGGAGGAGGAGGAGGAGGAGGAGGCAGAGGAGGCAGCCATGGAGAGCAGCATGAAGCAGGTGGTGTTTGAAGAGGAGGTGAGTCCCTGCCACAGCGCGGTGTCCCTGCAGCCAGCTCGGCACAGGGCTTTGCCCAGTTTATCCCAGTAAGGCACCAGTGTCCAGGATGGGGGTTTGGACTATGGGATGCTGCGTTCCCAGTGCCCAGGAGCAGCGGGATGAGAGCTGTCCCACCCCCAACCTCCTGCATCCCCCATCTCCCACCTCCACCCCCCTGACCCCATCTCCCCGCACCCCCAGGACTCGGGGAACGGCTGCTGCTGCCCGGGCTGCTGCTTCTCCTGCGCCAAGAGCTGCGCCAAATGCTGCACCAAATGCAGCTTGTGCTGCGCCAAATGCTGCACCAAATGCAGCTTGTGTTGCGCCAAATGTTGCTGCCTGCCCAAGTGCTGCGAGTGTCCCAAGTGTCCCAAGTGTCCCAAGTGTCCTGGCTGCGCCAGCTGCTCCGGCTGCCTCAAGAAGTCGCTGTGCTTCCTCCCTCGGCTGCTCTGTTACCTGCCCCGCAAGCTCCTGAGCTGCTGCCACCTCCGCTGCCTGCTCATCGTGGTGGTCCTGGTGGTCCTTCTGGTCATCATCATCGCCGGCGCCCTGCTGATGCGGCTGAGCGTTGACCAGCGCCACGATGACACCGTGAGTGGGGACCCCCCAGTGCCATCATCCTCCCCGGTGCCCAGGGGAAAGGCGATGTCGCAGCCTCTGAGATCCCCCATTGCTCCTCTCCAGGTCCTGAGGAGCGGGTTGGGGACAGGAGCGGCCTGGGAAGAGGACGCGGCCACTTTCTACCTGGACAGCGGGGACGGGAACGCGGCCACGGTCATCTATGATTACAAGAATGTGAGTGGGGGGCCTCAGGGGGACACGGGGAGGGGGAGATGGGATGGAGCTGACGCGGGTTTGGCTTCCAACAGCTGCTGGTGAGCTACAGAGCCCGGCTGCACCGCGCCTGCTACGTGACCCGCGTGGACAAGGACAACATCCCCGGGCTGGACACCGTGGTCGAGACCTTCCAGCGCCGGCAGGTGAGGACCTGGCTGGGGCAGGGGGGGCTGGTGGGGGGCTCAGTGCAGCCCCTCCACGATGAGGAATGATGAAGATGATGATGATGATGAAGAATGTCACTTATCCCCACCCTGTCCAGGCTGAGGACAAGATCTCCGTGCCCCTGGCTGACCGCTCCCTCCTGGGCACCACGGCGAGCATCCTCTGCAGCCTCCTCCCTGTTTACTGGGCTTAGAGGATGGGCAGGGGGACCTCTGTGGCATTGGGGGACCCCCACCCACCCGCGGCAGCACCCTCACAGTGCCAGCTTTGCCTTGCAGCATCCCCGACAGCCCCAACCCTGCTGGGAGCTTCTCCGCGGCCGCCCCCGCACCTCTCGTCCCAATTTTGGGGAATTTTTGGGGTGCGGGGGGTGAGGAGGGGTCGAGGGGGTCGGCGCTGGAGGGGCCGCAGGCGCGGGGTCGGGGGCGGGGCGGGGGTGTCAGCGCTGTGCCGGGGGACAGCTGGTTTGTCACTTAAGTCTTCTCAGCTTCGCCAAAACCAAGTGCAAAAATGAGCTTAAAAAAACATGACATTTAAAGAAAACACAATTCTCCGTTCCAGTTCTTCGCTCCCGCCAGCTCCCGCCTTCCCCCTGCCTTGAAAACGCCTTGAGGGGCTCCGAGCTTGGATTTTGGGGGGATTTCTGTCACAGCCACAGCCTGGGGGCTCACGGGAGGGCTCCCCCCGACTGTGGCTGCCTGACCTGAGCTGCCCCGTCCTGCTGCCAGAGCCAGGCTGGCCTGAAAAATGAGTCTGTCCTCTGCCAGGCTGGAATAAAGGAGCAGGGCAGGAACCAGGTCTGGGAGCTATTCCTGGGCACAGACTGTGCCCAAAGCAGCCACGGCCACCAGACGCTGCCCGAGGACAGGGATCATTAGCACTGCGATGATTTAGGACAGGGATGCTGGTGCTGTTGGGATCAGGAGTTATCAGGATCAGGCATGATAAGAATTGGGAGTTATGAGGATTTTTAGGAGCTGCTGTTGGGATCAGGAATTATTAAACTCAAGTGTTATTAGAACCGGAATGCTGGTGCTATTAGGACCAGGAATTTTTAGGATCGGGTTGCTGGCGTTATTAGGATCAGGAGTATCTGGGATACTGGTGTTATTGGGATCAAATGTTAATGGGATCAGACATTAATAGGACTGAGATGCTGGTACTATAAGGATCAGGAATAATAAAGACCAGGATTTTATTAGGATCAGGCTTTATCAGGATGGGATTCTGGCATTATTAGGACCAGGAGTTATTGGGACCGGGGCTGAGAGGAGGAACAGGGAGCAGCCCATCCAATCCCCCTGGGAATGGGAGCCGTCCAGCCCCACAGCCCCCTCGTGCCAGCCCCAAAGTGGGGACCACCGCCCCCCCCAGTGCCCCCACACCTGGATCCAGCCCCTGTTCCCACTCCTGGCACCAGGGAAGCTGCTCCTGCCGGGAAAGCGCAGCTGCAGCTGGCCGGGATTTGGGGCAACCATCCAGGGCCTCCTGCAGCTCTGGGGTGTCCCCTCCCAAACCCTCCCTGACCCCCAGACCCGCTCAGCCTCCCCGCCGAGGCTGGAGCAGATGGAGGAGGTGACAGAAAGTTGGCAGCACCTCCAGGTCCTTGTGCAATAATTCCAGTATTCCCAATTTCCGGAGGTTTGCCAGGGGTCCTGGCAGGGGAAATCAGGGTAAAACCCCCCAGTAGGTGCTGGGGTTGGGGGATCCTATCCCTGCAAAGAGGAGGTGTCACCCTCCAGCCCCCCAGGGTTGTGTCACTGTGCTCACAGGTGACAATCCAGTGCTGGTCACTCACTGCACAGGGGTCTCCAAGGGGGTCACTGGTCCTGGTTCCACGGGGGAAAAGGTCCTGGGAACACCCCGGGCTGCTCTTTGCTGTGGAGGTTTTGGGGAGCTGAGGATGGAATGCTCCTGGCAGCGTCCCCACCCTCACGGCTGTGCCAGGCCTTGGCATCGCCCACCTGCCGTTCCAGGATGCCAAGGAAGCCCTGCAGGGCGGGCAGGCTGAGGTAGGAGCGCTGGAATCCGTGTGCCCCTGCCAGGTGATATCCACCCAGGGCTCCTGGGATAAGGACATTCCCTTCCTGATGCTCAGCTCCTCTTCCAGGTAGGGCTCCAGGTTGGAATGCTGGTGACCAGTGACCTCCAGGGCCACCAGCACGGCTGCAAGGGGGGCCAGATCCCCAGAGCTGAGCCCGGCGTGGGAAAGCCAGGCCTGGAAAAGCCTCCTTGGAGAGCCTGGGCTCCCCGGAGCGCTCCGTGAGAAAGGGGCGATCTCAGGGTGGAAATCAACGGCTGGATCCTGACATCATGGATTTACATCATCCAGGGACTCGGCCCGCAAACATCCTCCCCAGCCCCAGCACAGGATGAAAACAAAAAGTATTCCAAAGCCTGGCTTGTTTGTTTTCTTTCTTTTTTCAAGGTTGGAGTCGAGTCCAGCCGTTGCTCCCCGAATTCCCATCCCTGGGATGCGCTGTGTGACGTGAGGGTCGGGGGCAGAGCGGGGACGTGGAGTCATCCTGGTTTTCCGGGGTTTATTTATCTGCTTTGAGGAGGAAAGTTTTGCTGGATGTGGGTTTTGCAATAAGGGAGAACGAGGAAAACATCCTGGGATGATCCTGATGGGGGAGGAAAACAAGGGCAGAGATAAGGGGTGAAGGAGACGCCGTCATTCCTGGTGGGAACGAGCCAGGCCCTGCATGCGGGGGATCCCCGAAAGTGAAGGGAAAAAGAATTTGGGGGCTTGGTAGAGAGGGAAGGAAGCAGAGATGGGGTCACCCAGAGTGTCCCTGTGGAGGTCATGGGACTCAGGGAACACTGAAAATCTTAAAAAATGAAATTAATGCAAGTTCTGGGAGCGCTGTGGGAGGATAAGGATGGGTTTGCAGGAGCAGCACGGGATGAGCCAGATTCGCTCAGCCCCAATTCCTCCAGGCTGGAATGTCCCAGGCAGGGACACTGCAAGGGGACAGGGTTGTGTCCCCGTGCCTTGGCATCCAGACACCCTCGGATGGCCCTGGGGGGCTCCCCCTGCTCCCCAAGTGCTCATTGAGGGGCTGACCCAGCTCCTGGGGGGCTCATCCCGATCCCAGGGTGCTTGCCCAGCCTCCCCAAGGTGGTCATCCCACTTTTGGGGTGCTTGGCCACCCTTCTGGGGTGCTAGCCCAGCTCCCAGGGTGCTCACCCAACCTTCCTGGGCAGCTCATCCTGCTCCTGGGCTCCTTGCCCACCATTCCCAGGGTGCTTTTCCAGTTCCTGGGGTGCTCATTCAGTCCTTGGGGTGCTGGCCACGATTTGGGGTGCAGGATAAGGGGTAAAGGATCAGGATTGCAGGACTGGGAGTCCAGGACCAGGAGATATGGGACTGAAAAATGTGGGGGATGCAGGAGCTGGGATGTGGGGTGGGAATTTGGGGTACCAGACCAGGACATGGGGGGTGGGACTGGGTTAATTTGGGGGTGCGGGGTTGGTGCTGGAGGACACGGGATGGCACCGGAAGGGACAGGTCAGTGCTGGGAAATGTGGGATTTTGTGTCCTGGGAATATCGAGGGGCCCGATATTCCCCCAGGAATTCGGAACGGGAACGAGAGGTGGCACAGACGGGGCTGGGAGACACCGGATGGGAGTGGAGGGGGGAGCGAGGATCGGGCTGGGAATACGGGACCGGAGTGGGGCAGGAGGAACAACGGGAGAGCGGCGGGTGAGGGATCAGTTCTGGTGGCGGGAGGTGGGATTGGGACCGGGGAAAACGGAACAGGACCGGGAGAGACCAGGATCGGTACCGGGGGAAATGGAGCAGGACCGGGAGAGACCAGGATCGGTACCGGGGAGCAGGAGATGGGAGCAGGGAAGAGCAGAATCGGTACCGGGAAAAATGGAACAGGACCGGGAGAAACCAGGATCGGTACCGGGGAGCACGAGATGGGACCGGGGAGGCTCAGCAGGATCGGTACCGGGGATATGGGACGGTACCGGAGAGAGCAGGATCGGTACCGGGAGATACCAGACGGGACTCGGGGGGTGCAGGACGGGACGGGACGGGACAGCCCCGGCCCGGGGGTTGCAGGAGCGGGGGCTGCGGGCCAGGTCCCCGCAAAAGCCCGTCCCCGCCGCCCCCCCGGCGCTGGCCCCGCTCCCAGTCCTGCGCCCGGGGCTGCAGGGGCCGAGCTCCGAGCTTGAACCCGCCCCCGCCAGATCTCATTTCCCTAAAAAAAAAAAAAAAAGAAAACACGAAGAAGGGAAGGAAAGAGGGAAGAGAGGAAGAAAAAAAGACCGGCCGGAGCCATGGCCGGGCTGCGGAGCTGCGGGCTGCTCCTCTGCCTGCTCCTGGCCCGGGCCCTGCGCTTCCCGGACTATTCCTACGTGCTGGAGGAAGAGGAGGAGGACGAGGAGCCCCTGGACTACAAAGACCCCTGCAAAGCCGGTAGGAGCGGGGGGATGCGCGGCGGGGCGGACAAAGGGGAGCGCGGGGGGGCCGGGGGACCGCGAGTGCTGGAGTGAGTGCTGGAGTGAGTGCGAGTGAGTGTGAGTGAGTGTGAGTGAGTGTGAGTGAGTGTGGGTGAGTGCGGGTGAGTGTGGGTGAGTGCGGGTGAGTGTGAGTGTGCCCCGCACACATTTCGGGGCTCTGCACAGCGGAACTCGGCTCCGCCGCCCCGGGGCCGGCGAGTCCCGGCCGCCCGGGATGGGGGGGACTGGAGGAGCAGCGGCCGGTCCCGCTCCGGGATGCATCTGGTTGTACTTAGGGTGAGGAGCAGGGGGGCCTGGCCCGGCTCCCCCGTTTTTGTCTCCCCGGTCTTGGCTGCACTGGCAGCTGTCAAAGGCGGTGGGGAGCCCCCAGACCCCCATCCCAGCCCCCCCCTCTCCATCCCACCACAGAGCCGGACCCATCCTGCACCCCCATCCCTGAACCCACCCTCTGCACCCCTTGGCTTTGTCCCTCTCCCCCATCCCGCTCGTCCCCCCGGGGACACCCGGGAGGTGCTACCACGGGCTGGGGTCCCTCTGTGCAGGGACAGGGGGTTCGGAGCTGCTCCCCGGGTTTTGGAAGGGCTGGAAACAAACTGAAAACAAATCCCTGTGTCCCAGTGTGAGCTAAAGCGGATGGAAGGATTTGGGGAGGGGGGAAACTGAGGCACGGGAGGGCCGTGCAGGGCTGAGCCCGGCTCTAGGGCCGGGGTCTGGCGGGGTCTGGCGG